GAGCGGGCTAAGTTAGCTGGTTAGCTTGACACTGATTCCAGGAAAGTCAGGGAAAGGCTGGTACAGGCCCCAAATAGTAGCAAATTAAAGGATGAGAGCAGAATAAGGCCACATTGGTTTTCTGGAAAAGGGGCTTCATCGCAGAAAAATCAAAACTAAATCAAAAATCAGATCTCATTCAAAAGGAGATTACGAGCTGGACTGACAAAGTTAACTGTGGCAGCACGGTTCACGGCTAAGGAATTTGTCTGGGTACAGCACGCCACCATGCTCAGACGTCACGGCTGCTTCACTGCTTACGTGCTGTGGGCTGTCTTGAAGTCTGTGATGGAGGCACGGCCAGCCGGGTCCCAGCCGTGAGCTCCGCGAACCCCCCGACGGGCAGGCGGCAGGTCCCCGTCACAAACTGCAACAGCCGGATCCTCTTCTCGTTGTCCATCTCTTTAACCACCTACGACAAGAACACGGCAGGAGAGTGGGATCCCTGCCACCCCAAGCCCGCAGCCCGGCTGGGCCTGGGGCACCGTCCTGCAGCACAGCTCCTGCCGTGAACACCCCGCACCCTCCGGCCAGCCGGGCTCGGACACAGCCCGGGGCAGCGCAGCACGCCAGGCACGTGGTCCAGCCCTCGCCTCCAGTCCTGCATCCTCGGGGACGAGCGCATCCCACGGGGCCTGTGGGGAGCAGCTCTGCCCGGCCTTGCCCTCTTTCAGAGCCATTTTTGACCCCCTTCTCTCCTGGCCAGCACGGAGCAGCACTGCCCGAACTGGCACAGCTCTGTGACATGTCATCCCCTTCTGTCACCCTGCCCAAGAGCAGCAGCTATTGCTAGAAGCGTGCTGACCACTAAGTGCTGCCTGCTGTCCTCGGCGGCGGTGCCGGGGCCTCTGCCAGCCACAGCCAAATGCTCCTTGCTGAACACGTGCTCGCGGTTGTATTTTGTTCTTCCTGACAGCTTGCGAGGCTGCCCGCCCCAGGCCAGCCCTGCCTGCCCCAGGCTGCAGGCAGGGGATGATCCCAGGGCTGTGGAGAGGGTCAGAGGTGCTGCCGGTGCCAGGACTGACCTGCCAGAACCACTGGATCTGTTTGCTGTTCTTGGTGTAGTGCCGGTAGATGGTGTTCTTCTGCCAGTCGTTCATGTCGATCTCCTGCATGCCGCACAGCATCAGCTGGGAACAGGACAGTCAGCAGGGGCACAGAAACAGGGCCCTGCACCCACGCTTTGGACCATGGACTCCTCCAGGGCCGGGCTTCACAAGGCACAGGCTCCAGCCCTGGGCCACAGAGGTGTCGGGGGGAATTCCTCGCCTCCCATGAGATGTTTTCTTGCTAACAGACCCAACGAGCCACCCCACAGACCCAGCCACCTGGGGCGGCGGTACCGCCGTCACCAGAGCCGAGGAGCAGAGGGTGCGAGCTGAGCCTGTGCGCTCTGCCGTCACCACGTGCCATTCCCAGGGCAGCCTGCGGCGGGGTGGGAAGCACCGGTACCTCCGTGTCCCCGTCCCAGCACGGGCACCAGCTCACCTCCAGCTCCTTCTCATCGAAGTACCGCAGCCACTCCAGCGGCACCACCTCGTTGAAGCCGTCCAGGAAAGCCTTGGTCTGCTCCTCCACGCCCCGCGTGAACCTCCAGTCCGTCAGCAGCCTGGGAAGGCAGACGGCAGTCGGCAGGCAGCCAGCACCGCTGGCCCGGCACAGGGAACCCCCACCATCCCTGCTGCTGGCGGGGAGGCCCCGGGGAGCCCCAGGGGTGCGTGGGGAGGGGGAAAGGGGCTCCTGCAAATCACCACCTCAGTTCCCACTAGCGGGTTTCTCTCTCTGCCTCCAAACCCGTGAGCAGCGGACAGCCCTGAGCACAGACAAGCAGCCTTCGGGAGGCTGAGGGGTGCAAACCACGTCCCCTGGCCAGAGCCTACCACCAGCAGGAGGAGTGGCCCTGGCAGCCCCCAGCCAGCCCAGCAGCGGACAGGCAGGGGGAGCAGCCACGGGCGGGAGAAAGGCCCCGGGCACCCCCCAGCCAGCCCAGCAGCGGACAGGCAGGGTGAGCAGCCACGGGACAGGGAGAGAAGTCTCACCCTCTCTCCCCTCTCCTCTTTCCTGAAAGTACTGGCAACTGCCCAGCCAGCAGCAAGCCAGACCGCAGCGGAGCTCGGCCGACCGCGCCAGCCCATACTTGTCGCAGGCCACATAGCCCAGGGAAGCAGCCACGTCCCAAGCCCCATGTTCCCATCCCAGAATGCCCTGCAGCCGCAGGGGCAGGCGCCCGGCAAGGGCCTGGGACGGTCACTCACATGATGTACTCCTCCTTGTTCTCCTCCGTCACCCGGATGCTCTCACCGCCCTCCTTCAGCTCATGGGTGGTCACCTTGCCCAGAATCTCCATGTCCTGGATGAAGTACAGCTCCAGGCCGCACTCCTCCAGGCTGTTCTCCCTGTGGGAGGACACCGGGTTGTGGTTTCCGACGGAGGCACCTGGCAGCAGCGAGGGGCCATGGGGAGGAGCGCTGCCTCCCCCGCAGCAGGACGGGCCCCGGGCCGGGAGGGAGCATGGGGCACTCACTTGGTCCAGACGATGGAGTTGTAAAACTCGGGGTCGATGGATTCCAGGTCCTTCAGCGTGGGCCGCTTGTTCAGCATCCGCTTGTAGAAGGGCAGCGTGAAGCCGGTATCGATGAACTTCCCATGATACAGAGCCTGCAACAGGGAGGCGACGCCGGGTGACGGGGGACCCCAGGACAGACCCACGGGGCAAGGCGGTGCTCCACCACCGGGGCAGCCGCGGGGCGAAACAGAATCGCTCCTGGGGTCCCAGAGCTGCGGTGCTTGCTCCCGGCTGGCAAATGCGGCAGGGAGGAGCGGGCTCCCCCCGACAGCGCTGCCCGGGGGCAGCTCGCCCGGTGCGGAGTGTGCTTGCAGCCCCTCTCCCCTCCCCACCACAAATTCCACCCCGTCTCCTTCTCCCCTCACAGCTCTATTAAGAGCACTTGTTTAAACAGAGCTGTGCTGCGGCTTCCCTGAATCCCTGGCTTCCAGGAGCCCCAAGGCAAAGGCAGCCAAAAATAATGCAGACGCTTGTCTAGAACGGCCCAGCGGTGAGTAATAGTCTGGGGTTTTATTGGTATCCTGCAACGCGCAGGGCAGGGCAGGGCAGGACAGAGCGGGGACCCGAGCAGCCGCCTCCCGCACACACCTCACTGGGCCACGGGCCAGGGACCCTTCCCCAAGCTCACAGAGCCCCTGCAGCCCCCCTGCCAGCCCAGGGCTGGGCAACCTGCAGCACGTTGGCCTTGGGGAATGCGAGACGAACGGGAGGAGCCGTTCTGGGGCTTGGACAGCTGGAAAATCTCACACTGCTTGGGCTAAAAATAGTCCCCGGAGCTGCAGACCCGACAGCACCTGGGGTGGCAGCCAAAGACCTGGAGCCATCCCCGCCACAGAGCCCCTGGGAAACCAGGTCCCCTCCGGCCCCACGGCCATTCCCCAGATTTAAAATGCATCACCCCGCAGCCTTCCTCGCAACACCCCTCGATGGCCCGTCTCCCACGGACCCGCACCTGAGCGAGACGGGGCTTAAGGAGGGCAACAGTACCGAGCCGAGCACAGCCATGGCACGGGGAGCCGCCCCTCACCCTGCTCACCACCCCCGTCCCCTGCAAGGCCCCTGCTCCGTTTGGGGGACACAAACGAAGTCTTGTCTCCCGTCACCTCGGGAGCCCTCTCACCCCGTCACCCCGGGCTCTTACCATGGCGATGAAGCGGCCGATGAAGCGGAAGTAGGTGAGGTGGTCAGGGTTGATGGAGGAGGCAGGGTTGATCTGCAGGCAGTAGTTGTTCTTGCCAGCGTACTCGAAGAGGCAGTACATGGGGTTGAGCACCTCGTGGGACAGGAGGAAGAACCACTCCCTGGAGCAAGAGGAAGGGGGAGCACGGTGACGAGCGGTCCGAGGAGCCGGGGTGCCCAGGGGCTGCGCCCTGGCGGAGGGGACAGCCACGCGCCTCCACAGCACACCCCGCACAAACCAGCTGCCCGTCTCCTCAGGGTGCCGGTGCAAGCGTCGGGCCCTGGTGTGACTTGGCGAGGGCGTCCTCCGCCCCAGGGGTGCTGCGCGTGCTTTGTGAAAGGCTTCTGGAGACACCAGCAAGAAACACCCCGGTTTGCCGGAGGCCTCGCTCAGAGCACCGGGGATCCCGGCAGGCACCACGTGGCTCAGTCCCACCCAGGCTGTCATACACGTACACACACACACGCTGTTGTGCACACACAGCCCCAGCTGCGCACACACATCCCGAGCCTCCCCGCACAGGCTCCCCCCGGCAGCCCCACCCTGAGCTCAAAGCAGCGCGGGACGGGTGCCGTCCTGGGATTGCTCCCCCGGCCGCGCAGGGAGACGGGAGTCCTCGGACGCAGAGGCAGCCCCGGCATCCCGTCCGTGGTTCTACCCTGTGGTAGAACAGCATGACGTAACCTACCATAGGGTAAAACCACTGGCAGGACACAGAGAGAGGCGGAGAGCAGGAGCCCCTGCACCAGAGCCGGGGGCAGCGGCACCACAAAGGAGGAGCGGGTGACAGCACGGCAGCACGAATGCCAGGGCGGCGGCAGGCAGGGGCAAGCGTTAGCCCAGCACCAAGGCAGACGCCCCAAGCGAGCCGCCAGGGGCTCATGGGGACACGGGGCCCCCCCTCCAGCTGAGACACAGCCCGTGCTCTGTGCTAACACCATCCTCGGAGCAGGCAGTGGAGACTGCAGCAACCGTGTCGCGCCACGTCTGCCCTGGCACACCCCGACTGTCTGGGGAAACACCAGGGCCTGCTGGCTGCGAAGGTGGGCAGTGGGCAGAAGACGCCGCTTGACCCATCACCCCCGTGCCCCAGGGGGCAGCAGGAGAGCCCCAGCTGGGTCCCCCAGCCCTCTCTGTGCCAGGGACAGGCGAGCGCGACGCTCTCAGGGTGTTCCACCATTCATGAAACTCACACTGTTTCCCATTTGAACACCCCTGGGCTCCTCCGCCCAAGCAAGCGCTGCAGAAAGACTGGGGACCCCGAGTGCCACTGCCAGGCAGGCTCCTGTGCCCGTGCTGCCCTTTAGGGACTCACGCCACAGGCAGGGCACAGCACTGCTCAGCAGCAGGCGTGTGGTCCGGCACGCCGGCGCTCACCTAGCGATGCCGCCGTAGTCCAGGCCCTCCTCTCCTCGCATGATGATGTACAGGCGGCGCCGCAGGTCGTACGGCTTCATGTTCATGATCTGGGGAGAAGCAAGGGGAAGCGTCACCGCGGGCTGCTGCGAGGGCCGGCTCCACACCTCCCCAGGCTCTGCGGCTCCAGCACCTCCTCACCTGCTGGAAGGAGTCCTCAAAGAGCGTCTGTCGGGAAACGCTGATCTTCACGTGGCTGGGCAACGCGTTCGACTACGAGCAAGGCAGAGACACGAGGCTTTGCACAGGCTGGCACGGCGGCTCTCCTCGCTCATGCCTGCCCACAGGGTCAGGTTGTCCACGCACCCATCCAGCCCTGCGGCTCAGCACCCCCCGAGCTGCTGGGGCCCTCCGGCCGCTCTACTCACGTGGCAGAGGAAGCGGAACTGGTGGTACTTCCAGCGAAAGCTCCGGTCATACGCCCCTGGGGAGCCACCCTGCTTGCTCCTGCAAAAGCATCATGGGCCTAAGGTGCCCAGCCCCAGCAGCCTCATCGCCTGCCAGGCGGGAGGAAGATCTCGGGCGCAGCTCACCTCCGTCAGAGCCACATGTGAGGCCCTAAACCCACTGCTCAGTGTCTTCGCAACAAAACTGACCCACTTCCCCCCTCCGTGTCACAACCACGGGAAGGCACGAACTGCGAACAGGCAGCTCGAGTCCCAGCTCCCAGTGCGCAGCCCGGCTGCCGGGCAAGGGGCCCGGCCCAAAAGCGCTTACCCAGACTCGAATCCAGGGCGCGGGTCCTTGAAGGTGGTGGTGCGAGTGTTGTGGTCCACGAAGTAGCGCACGCCCTCGTTCGTGTACTTCATCTCCCAGCCGGGCGGCAGCGGCGGCTCCTGGATCATCCTGCCGACAAGGAAGGGGTCACCAGGCAGGCACCTCGGGCATCTCCCGCCCTGAACTGCGGCCCTCCAAATTGCTGCCCTTGGGGACCACCCTCAATTTGCAGCTCCATGCCAGACAAAAGGAAGGATTCATGGTATGGGATTGGCGAGCGCCTGCCTGCACCCCGAGACAGGAGCCCTGCCCTGGGCTGCACTTGGCCACGGCCAGGACTGGCCACAGCTACAGCTTCATTCTCCGTCTGCGGGAGAGGTGGCCTCAGTGGAGACCTGGGCCAGGTCCTCAGCCGGGGCAAGTCTCTGGAAAACTGCAACCCAGAGCTCTCAGAGCCCAAGCCGAGCCCTGCAGGAAGGCAACAGGGCAAGAAGAAAGCACATCTTTCTGCCCAGAAAGCCCTGCAGTCTTCTCCATCACTTGCTCACCTCTACCCTCAGCTCCCGCGAGCAGGAGAGCTGCCCCACAATGCCAAGGGTTGCAGTGTCCAACCCTCCTAGGCTCCAGCGCTGCCTGCTCACTGCCTGCAGTTCTCAGTGCTTTTGGCCCTGCAGCGCTGCAGCCCGCCCGGTCCCCCGGCACGGCCAGCTCTCAGCGCTCAGTAGCCCATCGCATGGACCTTCCGAAACCGCAAGCATCCTCCCTGCTCACCCCGCAGGCTGCCTACCCCTGCGTGCGAGGGTCTTCCCACTGGGTGGTCCGCGTGTTGTGGTTCACGTAATACACTCGCCCATTGTCCTGTCTCTTCTCTAAGAGAAAAGGGAGAGGGAGCGTCAGCTGGAGTGCCCTGGCCAGCGCCGACCCACAGTCCCGGGAACAGCCCTCCCCTCCCCAGCTCCCGAGAAGTTTGTCAGCTCCCCCCGTCCCACCTCCCGGCCAGCACTGCCCCGGCTCATTTGGAAAAGGCAGGATAAAACCCCTACATTTCTGCTACGTGCACAAGCTGCCGCACCTCCAGGGAAGGCCGGCTTTCTCCAGTGTCCCCAAGGCCAGCGTGCGGGGAGGTGCCGCAGCAGAGGCCAGCCCCGCCAGCGCGCTGCCAGGCTGGCACAAGAGGCGTGCTCGGCCACGTGCCTCGCTGGGCAGGCGGCACACGCACCCTCCTCGGACACGCGGCGCTCCGCAGGCGCAGCATCCCTCCAGACGGATCTGCAGGTGCTTTCTCAAACACGTCCGAACTCCCTGCATGGCTCTGCTGCTGGTGCACACCTCGTGCTCCCGGCGCGCACCGCACACGCATGCACACCCACACCTCCCTCTGTTGCGCACAGGCATAAAACAAGCACGCCACTCACACCAGCACCGCTGCTCGGCCCCGCGCTGTGCCCGCAGCCTCACGCCCTTGTTGCACAGGAGCCTCCGTGCACACGCGCCCCAGCCGCCCAGCACCCTGCGTGTGCCACACGCTTCCCCAGGCACCCCCTTCCCGACACTATTTGCACACTGAGAAAGGGCGAGTGCCTCCCAGCTGTGGCTGGGCACCAGGCGCCCTGGCCCGGTGGTGATCCCGCACCTGCTCCCCACCTCACCAGCCCCCAGGCACCTGCACCCACCCCACGCAACACCTCTTGTCCCGCCTGCCGACGCTGCTCTGCGTCTTGCCAGCCACCCCGCCGCGCACGCCCACGCACGCTCGCTGCCTCCCCACCAACACGTGTGCCCCACACGCAACACACCTCCTCCCTCCACGTGCCTGCGTCACACCCTGCACGCACGGCCCTGCTCCATGCCGGCAGGGACGCCCTGCACGCACGCTCCCCTGTCACCTCCCGGCCACTGCCGCCCCCCTCACTGCCTCTCACTCCCGGACTGCTGGAAGCAGCCCCCAGGCCACGGCTCCGGCAGACCCCACGTACCATGACCAGGACTGCATCCACCCAGGGGATGCCATCCACCCCAGGGACCCCCACCCCAGGGTGCTCGGCCCCACGCAGAGCTGTGCCTCCCCCAGTCTGCCTAGCTGACGCTGGGGACGGGGCCCCTCTCCTCCCTGGCCAGGGCTCACCTCGCTGATGCAGGAGGCGGGCCACCCAGCGTGGCAGCAAAGGCTCCAGCACCATCCCCATCAAGACCCTGCCCTTGGAGACCCTCTTAGCAGACTGGGCCCCCTCTGCCCTGCTCCAAGCTCCCCGCAGTTTTAACCCCTCTCCTGCCCTCCCTGGCACAGCACAGCCCCTCTGCACACAGGAGCATCCCAGCCTGCCCTCTCCAGGGATGCTCTTGCCATGGAGGGGGGATCTCTCTGCCCTGGGGATGGCACAGGGACCTTTCAAAACACCCCGGCACCTGATGCTTGGGCCACAGGGAGGGGACAGCCAGCCCTGCTCCTGCCAGCTCCCAGCCCCGCTGCGGACCAGGGCAGAGCATCCCGGGAGGCAGACAGGGGAGCAGGATGGATCCCATGGGGACAAGCGAGGAGTTGGATCCCCAACCTCTCCCCCTGTCCAAAAGAACAACCACAAGCACTTCTGCATTCAGTAGCAGAGAGAGACTGGGAACTCCTCCAGGAAAAGGGGAAAAAAGGAAAAAAAGCTGGATTTCAAATCAGAGATTGCGCTAATCACAGGCAGACTCAGCCCCACATGCAGCAGAGCATGGGGAACGCTGGCTCCCCAGCCACCGCTCCCATTAACACCAGGGACGGGAGCGAAGGAGCTGCTGACAGCACTGTCCTCCCCGCGGGGCAGGCAGGGTCCTGCTCCAGATGACGGAGGAACGTCCCCCGCGGGCTGTCCGGCGAGCGCGGCGGCGGGCAGGTGAGGCGGCTCAGTACTTACCCCAGCCGGGAGGAAGGGGACCGAGAGGGTCATTGTCGGACGGGGTGCCGGACGACTAGAGACAACAGAGAGGGCAAAAACACAAAATAAAAACCAGG